TACCCTCTCCCATAATTTTAAAGTATGACACATCAACTTAATTCCTCTATAATTTGCACACTCTTGTGCATCCCCTTTATTCTTAAAAATGGGGATCAAAATACTCTTCCTCCACTCCTCAGGCATTTTTTTAGTTTTTAAAATAGTTTTAAAGAGTTTAGTAAGCCAAGAAACTCCCAAATCTCCCAAATATTTCCACACTTCAATTGGGATATCATCAAGTCCTACAGACTTTCCACCCTTGGTTTTCTTTAAAGCCTCCTCAACTTCTTTTTTGCTAATGCGACGGTAAAAACGAAACGTTTTATTATTATTTACGATATTAAAATCACTAAGTTCGATCGTATTTTCAGAAACTTCATTAAAAAGTTTATCAAAGTAACTCACCCACCTATGTTGAATATCTTTTTCTAAGAAAAGTACTTTTTGATTTTCATCTTTAATACACTTTACTTGAGTTAAATCTTTACTTTTATTTTCTCTTTGTTTGGCTAGTTTATACATATATTTTTCACCCTTCTTAGTATCTAATATATTATAAAGATCATTAAAAGCATAATTTTTAGCATTTTTAGCATACAAACATAAATACAACACAAACTCCAAGATTTGTTACGATAGCAGGTAAATCTGATGGAGGGATGCGGCAACAGCTGGGTTGCTTGGAACAGGTTGCTACTGCGTTGGGAAGAGGTAGAGACGACTACAATTGGATGAGGGGAAGGCGCGGGAGGATTGTTGTTAGATTTAGATTTCCTATATATAAGAGGGATTATAACTTATATTAGGCAATGCTTTCAATTATGACATAGAATAAAAATGAAGTAATATAATAGACAAGGATTTTTTATAGGGGATTTCATGGAAAATGAAATAAATATTAAGAGGGAAAATGAAAGAAAAAGGAGGGAGAATGACTGCTGTTACTGTAGCTGCTATAGTAACGCGTCCGCAACACTGTGGCGGCTATAGTGCTGCGATCCGGGGAGGGTCCCTTGTCAAACTATCGGGGTTGGGTGAGCTTTGACTTCATTCGTCGAAGCTGTAGGGAAGAAAAATTTTGGTGGGGGTGGCTTGGGTAGGGGTGGATGATGGGACCCTAGGATAGGACTAGGGTTAGGCTAGCTCTAATACCAGATAATACCGGAGGAAACCCAAACCAGAAAAAAAATATTATTGTTGAATTTAAAAAGATTATAGACACGATGCTTGAAAACATAAAATAACGACAACAAAACAACAACACAAATATAAAGACAACACCGACTCCAAGAAGGGTTACACTGGCAAGTAGATCTGATGGAGTGGCTGCGACAGCTGCTGGGCTGCTTGGGACGGGCTGCTGTAGTGTTGGTAAGAGCTGGAGACGGCTACAAGAGGATGGGAGAAGGCCTGGGAGGGTTGCTGTCAAAACTGGATGAGTTGAGAGGGCTTATGACAATTTCTGGAATGGTTGGAGGGAGTTCAACATTGAGGGCAGTAAGCTAGTAGGTGGTAGGACGAGGTGGCCAACAACAGGAAGAGGGCCGGAGGGTTGCGAAAACATAAAATAACGACAACAAAACAACAACACAAATATAAAGACAACTCTGACTCCAAGAAGGTTTACGCTAGCAAGTAGATTTGATGGAGGGGCTGCGACAGCTGCTGGGCTGCTATAGTGTTGGTAAGAGCTGGAGACGGCTACAAGAGGATGGGAGAAGGCCTGGGAGGGTTGCTGTCAAGTCTGAATGAGTTGAGAGGGCTTATGGCAATTTCTGGAAGTGTTGGAGGGAGTTCAACAATGAGGGCAGTATGCTAGCAGGTGATAGGACGAGGTGGCCAGCAACAGGAAGAGGGCCGGAGGGTTGCAGAAAGATAAATCATCTCGTCGTGGTCGAGCTACAGCTGGAGCACTACTCGGATCCTTGGAGACGATCACCATATCGGACGAGTTACAACCGGAGCACCTTCTTGTCGTCGGATGCAGAACCTGGAGGGGAAGATCATCTCAAAGCAGTACTTAGAAATCAATCATCATCCAAAAAAGCCTCCCTTCCTAAGCAAAAGCAACCCCTATATATATGAAGGATTAGGACTTGTTATTAGACGATGCTTTCAATTAGGAAATATAACTAAAAAAAGTATTATAATATGCAAGGATTTATAATAGGGGATTTCATGGAAAAGGAAAGAAATATTAGGAGGGAAAAGGAAAGAAAAAGGGGGGGAGAATGACTGCGGTTATTGCATCTGCTATGATAACGCATATGCGGCACTGTAGCAGCTACTGTACCGCGATCCGAGGAAGCTTCAAAGTCAATTAGGAATTAACAAAATACACTACACAAATTCAAAATATAATGGGGTCGAGGTGGCGGTGTTGCGGTTAGGGGCTAGATAGGGAAGTAAGTTTGGAAGTGGTTGGTGGCAGGAGGTTGGTGTTGGAGGTGGGATGTAGTGGAAGGAAGGTAGATTGCAGTTGGGATGGATGGAGAATGGCAGCAGTCAGATGGTATGAATTGCGTTTGGCAGATTGGAGGGTGAAAGGTATGGCTACAATAGCTGGTTGTAGATGGTAGGGGTGAAGTTGCGATAGGGATGTGGATGGAGAGGGTACGGCTGGAAGTGGAGGTGAGAGGTATGAGGGTTGCAGGAGACAACACATGCAATCCTTGGGGTGACTGCAACAGTTACGATGATAAAAGTAGCAGAGGGGAGATTGTGGAGGATAGTCGGGGATAATCACCACCTCAGAACGAGTTATAACATGAGCACCACTTACCTTTGAATACAACCATAGAAGGGAAGACTTGGAGACGTTGATGGCTGTCCCGACAGAAAACTCATCAAGAAAACTGACTTAAACATGAGTAAATAACATATATATATAAACGTTATAACTCGTTTATATATAAATAACACACATATATATATATATATATATACATATATATTATTTATATATATAAACATATATATATATAAATAACATATAT